GGCATCCAATGCGTGAGGTGTGTACGCGCTCTGGCGTAGTTTACGTTAATGGGTGTGTTGATATCCAGCCGAAGAGCAATCAACTACAACTTCAGGCGAGCAGGCTCAGATGTTGGGAATACGTGGAAAGTCACCACTCCCGAATGAGTTCGCGCGAGAGAACGTAATCTTTTAGTTTTAAGTCGGTTTGAACAATCCGGATAAGCGCAAGTAAGTACCATTTTGATTAGCCGTCGTACCTACAATGTTTGTGCACTGTGTAAACAATGAGTGACGTATATGCGTGAGAGATCACTTCCGGAGCTTGCGTAAACTACGCCAGAGCACGTACACACCTCACGCACCGGATGCCGTGCGCGCGCCCAAAGACAGTTGGACATAGTGGTGTATTAGAGGTAAAAATATTATATAAATACTGTTCGGTTTCTGGCACAAACCGATCGTTTCGTGTCTTAGGACATCAATGTGTCGTTACGAGCTGCAGGGTTTAAATTGGATTTGTCTGTGCATGTTTTGTTTACTCTCATAAATTTTGTTACCATTGCCATGCATTATACGACTGATAGACTGCAACGGTTAAAGTTAAAAATCATCATATGTGTTCTACTGAAGAAACAAAGTCACCTACATCTTGAATGCCCTGGGGGTAAGCAGATAAGCATCAAATTTTCATTTTTGGGTGAACTATCCCTTTAAGCTGTGCCCTATCTACAAATGGAAATTCTGGAGTGGATTCGGATACTTTGAGTAGTAACGGTCACTGCAATCCGCTTACATACTCTGATACGCACACAAACACAACATAGATATTACAGATCTCTCTCTCACCCTCCTCTTCCCAGGGACTCTTCCGTAGGGAATCACAATCAGACCGGCACGGTGAAATGGGCGGCAAATTCGGCGCCACGCTGCACACGACCACGCCCCTCCGGTTGGTCCCGCCCAGAATCCGTGGCGACTCTGACGGATGGAACGTGCTCATTTCCGTCAGCTCCGGGCCTCGGCCGTCCCCTGGCCATTTCTCCAGGGTTCCCCGAGAGTCTCCGGGAAAACACGGCGTGTACGCCATCGGCCGGACGGGAACCTGAGGCGGACAGACAGACAGACTTCCTTCCGTGTACAAGCTGATTGGCTCTCCGATGGCGCAGCGTAGTGGCGGATAGTGCCCACCGTTGGCTTTATGCAGCAGGGCGGCCGTAGCCGGATCCTGAACCATGGAAAGGTTATTCCGGGAATAGCTCTTCTGGAAGACCTTCTTCCGAAAGGCGATGAATAGGAGGATGAGAGTGAGGATGAGGAAGAGCACGATGGCGATTCCGATAAGCTCCTCCTTCCCGACGTAGGCGTGGCCAGCCTGCATATCCGGAACAAGCACGGGACGAACGGAGCAAGCGCTGCCCACGAAACCCGGCGTGCAGTTGCAGTAGAATGAGCCGAAAGTGTTGACGCACACGCCACCGTTCTCGCATAGCTCGCGTTCACACTCGTTCACGTCCTCTTCACAACTGCAGAGGAGAAATAAACACTCGCTGGTTACTGTGGCCCACTGGGTTTATACTGCATCAGTTTTGTGTCCTTGGCCTGCTGTAAAAATTTATTGTGACTCGGCAGAAATGCATCAGTCTATAAAAAAAACTGACATTGTGTCTGAAAGCGGGCATGATGGGATACGTTTACAGCCTAAAGTAATCCGTCTGTCTACAATGAAAGTGAAAAAGCTGGGAGACACCACACAATAACAGCCAATCAGAATATTTTTTATGAGAAATTTGGAGCTGGGAGATTTCATGAAAACCAAGCAAACGACTTTTGTTTTCAGCCATTTCTGGGAGCTAATCATCATGTTTCAAAGAGCTATTAAAGACAATGTGAAATCGAATGTGACCTTGTTTACTTACATAATAAATATTGCTGGGATTTTTCATAAAATTTTTATCAAAATGCAACTTTCACTGCTTTATAAGTTTAGAGGCAACCAAGGCCACACGGCCTTGAAATACTGTATATTTTAAATATAATATATTAAATATATATATATTTTTTTATATAAATATTATATTCATATAGTATTTAATATATGATTAAATTATATAATAAATTGTGGTCGCCATCTGACTTGGCATATCAATTGTCTGGAGATGCTGGCCGTATTTCAAGCATTGAAACACTTTCTCCCAGACCTCAGGAGGTCTCCATGTGTTGGTGCGCACCGACAACACAGCGGTGGTCGCTTACATCAACCACCAGGGGGGTCTGCGCTCACACCGTTTGTACAAATTGGCACACCAGATCCTTGTGTGGTCTCAGGAGAGACTCCTCTCGCTGAGAGCGGTGCACATTCCTGGGCATCTCAATGTGGTAGCAGACATCCTGTCGAGGCAGGGGCCGAGGCCCGGGGAATGGATGCTTCACCCCGAGCTGGTGAAGCAGATATGGAATATTTTTGGCCAGGCTCAGGTGGACTTGTTTGCGACACAGAAGACATCGCAATGTCCCCTCTGGTGCTCTCTGATTTATCCAGCTCCACTGGGGCTGGATGCCATGGTACAGGCGTGGTCGAGGCTTCGTCTGTACACCTTTCCCACGATCGCTCTGCTCCCAGGAGTTCTGGAGAGAGTGCGCCAGGACGGAGTCCGCTTACTGTTAGTAGCCCCGTTCTGGCCGGGCCAAGTATGGTTCTCGGACCTGATTTCCCTTCTCGATGGTTCTCCATGGGAGATTCCCGTCAGGAGGGACCTCCTCTCGCAGGCGGAGGGCACGATATTTCACCCCCGCCCGGAGCTGTGGAAGTTATGGCTGTGGCCCCTGAGGGGGCACAGCTAGTAGCTTCCGGTCTCTCGACTGAGGTTGTTGAGACCATCCTCCAATCCAGAGCTCCCTCCACGAGGAAACTGTACGCTTGGAAGTGGAAACTTTTCACTTCCTGGTGTAAAGACCGCCAGCTCGACCCAGCTAACTGCCCAGTCGGTACAGTACTTGAGTTCCTGCAGGCCCGTTTCTCTACAGGATTAACCCACTCCACCCTGAAGGTCTACGTGGCGGCCATTGCGGCCTACCACACCCCTTTCGGTGGCAACTCAGTGGGGAGACACCCCCTGGTTACACGTTTCCACCGCGGGGCGCTGAGGCTGAGGCCTCGGGTACGATCTCGTGTCCCTACATGGGACCTAGCAGTGGTGCTAGAAGCTCTCTGTAAGCCTCCATTCGAATCTATCAAAGAGATTTCTGATCGCCATCTTACGATAAAGACTACCTTTCTTCTGGCAATATATCTTCTCTTAAGAGAGTTGGGGATTTACAGGCCCTTTCTGTGGCCCCTTCCTATCTTGACTTTGCGCCCGGTCTGGCCAAAGCATTTCTGTACCCTCGTGTGGGGTATGTCCCAAAAGTGCCCTCATCCGTACCGCAGCCCATCGTACTTCAGGCCTTCAGTCCTCCTCCCTTCAGGGAACCAGACCAGCAGAAGCTTAATTGTATGTGTCCAGTGCGATCACTGGATGCATACATCCACAGAGCTGCCCTGTGGAGGAGGGCGGACCAGTTGCTTGTGTGCTACGGTCCCCCTAAAAGAGGTCTTCCAGCAACTAAACAAACCCTCAGTTGGTGGATAGTGGATGCCATCTCCATCTGTTATGAGTCCTCTGATCTCCCCTCACCGTTAGGGGTCAAGGCTCACTCGACTTGAAGTGTGGCAGCCTCTAAGGCTTTTTTAGCGGGTGTGCTTATGCAGGACATCTTCAACGCTGCGGGTTGGTCCACGCCCCTTACCTTTGTTAGGTTTTACGGTCTAGACATGCGAGCCACTCCTGGCTCTTCTGTTCTCTCACCCTAGCTGTGCAGTCTTCCACACTAGGCAGAGACTTGGAAGTCTGGCGGCGTGGGCATTCTCGTTCCCCTAGCATTTTCGACGCAGCTCAAGTTCCTGAAGAGGAACGTCTCAGGTTACGTATGCAACCCTGGTTCCTCGAGGGAACGAGACGCTGCGTCTCGGTGCCATACTTCCGGCGTCCCTGCCAGCGCTTGCTTCATTCCTAGAAGCTGACGCTGGCTCCGCCGCACGTGCTTTTATAGCTTCCTGGTCACGACGTCACCCGCCCGTGACGTTCCGTTCAGCTATTGGACTGATTTCACATGTGATTCAGAGTGTGGGTCGCAGAAGGCTTTCCCCTAGCGTTTTTGACGCAGCGTCTCGTGCCCTCGAGGAACCAGGGTTACATACGTAACCGGAGATGTTTTTATTCATTAGTTTATGTTTAGTTTTAGTTATATTAGTAACAAAACAAAGATGAGAAATGTTGAAATAAAATCATCTGAACTATCTGAAATAAAATAGGTTAATGTTTTATTTCCAATTGAACTTTTAGTTATATTTTAATCAATATTATTCACCTTTCATACACACACAGATACTCATATAGTGGTATTATTATAACACTATTATACTAATATATTAAACACATCATACTAATATTCCCTATAATGGCCCACAAATTTCATGTTGTCTACAAGGTACACATATACTATATAATTTATGAGAAGTGTGTGTGTGTGTCTCCCAGGTGTGACTAAAGACACGCTGCAGGTGTATGAAAGGCCATGTTGAAATCGTTCTGATGTCTATGTGTAGTTGCCTCAATAGTGCTAAACGACCAAATAAAAGTGTCTGCAGTCTGTAATGAACTACATTAGCATAAGCCAAGAGAGACTGCAGCAGTATAATCTTTTCTATGCAGAGAGAGGCTTGAAACGATCTTTAAAAAAGACTAATGCTGCTCTAACGTGGACAGATATGCTACCATCTCGTGGCCACAGATAGCGCTACATTTCCCTTCAGTGAAGACAACTGAGAAATGCATTACACCGACTGCATAGAAATGTACACGGAGGACATGCAAGTTTGAATATGTATGCAAACATGGCATGCAAGTCAGTGCTAAGCATGTGCCAGTTTTTCATGGTGCGCTGCCAACACAAACTGACTCGTGCAAATGTTTTAGAAAAGAACAGACGCTGGTTATTAAATTCTGTTGGCAACTCATAACTTTGGAAAGTTTAAGTTCATCTATCTAATTGACTATGTACGTCAAACACACACAGTGTCATCGTTTACAACTACACAAAAAAGAAAATCACATAATATTTGGATGCTTGTTGATTAACATAACACACATTTACAATAATATATATTTAATTATATATTAAAACGTTAAATATTACATATCTATCTATAGAGAGAAAGAATATAGACTTGTTAATATATGAAATATAATAATAATAATAAACGACAAGTCCAAACTGAATAAATTTAATTGATATATGCTAAAATGATTAACATGATCATACATTTAAATATAAATATACATATACCTCTGGATATCATTATCTATCTATAAAGAGAGTGAGAGAAAAAATATAAACTTGATAGGCTTAATATATGAAATATTAAAATAACATCATAATAGTAATAATAGTTATCATTATTACTATGAATGAGAATTGAAAAAATTTAAATTTATGTAAAATTATTACAATTAATTACATTTCCGCTACCATTATTTTGCTAATACAGTTTTATAACGAATTTCTATTTATACTTAAATATTGTATATTAAAAATAAAAAATAAATATATTTCTAAATATAAGTCTATATTCTCTATATAAATATTTTAGATGAATAGAATACAAATATATTTTATATTTATTCATTAATATATTTAAAAATGTATAATTGTACGTAATATTATTAATATTTTTTAAACAAATCATTAATCAGAAAATAAATACATTATTTAAAACATCATGTGGGATCAAAAACTGAATAACTAAAACCAAAATAGCTGAAAGGTTAGTAAACTGACGTTACGCCGGTGTATCCTCTCTTGCAGCTGCAGATGAAGGCGTTCCCGATGGGTTTACACACGCCGCCGTTCTGACACGGGTTTGGCATACAGACGCTGATCTCAGTCTCACAGCGCCCTCCGGTGTACAGAGCGCTGCAACTGCACGAATAACCTGAGAGAGAGAGAGAGAGAGAGAGAGAGAGAGAGACAGAGAGAGACTGTTTGTTCATGAACTGCAACACAATCGCGCAGACACACGCAGGTCTGAAATAGCGTGGAAAATGTCAGTGAGTAAACAGTGCGCTGGTTTTATCAGGTCTCCCCACAAAAACAAACACACACAAACACGTCTGCCAGACACTCCTGCACAAACGACCTTTACAAAGAGGAGGAGTACGGCAACACCGCAACTCCCACAACACACTGCTCCATTCATCAGAGCCAGTGAGAGAGAGACGAAGAGATGAGGAGAAGGGAAACAAGACTAGATTAGACGAAGAATGGAGAAAAACAGAAAAGAGGTCGAGACGGGACTAAAGAAGAAACTAAAAGAGGAGAAGAGACGAGACGAGGCGAAACAAGAAAAAGACAAGATGGTGATAACAGATGAGAGGAGAAGAAAACAAGAGATGAGAGGTCTAAAGGAGAAATAGACGAGAATTGACAAAGAGAGAAGAGAGAACTGAGAAGAGACTAGAGGAAAGAAGAAAGTAGTCAGCAAGAAAGGAGAGAAAGGAGGGAAGATGGATAAAAAGAGATGAGAAGAGACTAGATGAGATGAGAACTTGTGAGAAGAGAATAATAGATACGAAAACAATGACAGATGAGAAGAGATGTGGACGAAAGACACGATGAGAAATTCACTAAAAATGTTTTTTTTCTTGGTCTTATTAAGTATTCTAATTTGTTGAGATAGTGAATTGGTGGGTTTTTGTTAAATGTGAGCCAAAATCATCACAATTAAAAGAACCAAAGACTTAAACTACTTCAGTCTGTGTGCATTGAATTTATTTAATACACGAGTTTCACAATTTGAGTTGAATTACTGAAATAAATGAACTTTTCCACAACATTCTAATTTATTGAGATGCACCTGTAGATGAGACAATAAAAGAGACTAGAGGAGAACATAAATCGATGAGAAGAGAAAACACTAAATGAGAACAGAACAGAAGGGAAAAAAGCCAAGATTAGAAGGGAGGAAAAGAAAAAAGAAAAGACGACATGAGATGAGAATTGATTAGATGAAATGAATGAGACATTAATAGATAAGAAGAGACGAGAAGGGAAGCAAGACAAAATAGATGAGAAAAGTAATAGACGAGAAGAGAAGAGACTTGAATAATAGACGAGAAGGGGCAAAGAGAGAAGAGGAGAACAAAAGAGTAAAAAGATGAGAGGACATGAGACGAGATGCGAAAACGATACAAGAGGAAAGACAAGATTAGGAGAAAGGAGGTGAGACAAGAAGAGACGAGATTCGAGGAGAAAGTAATTGACGAGAAGAGACTAGGTGAAAACGTGGCATGAGAAGACAGTATGATGTGAAGAAAAGAGAAGGGGGACGACCAAAAGAGATGAGAAGAAATGCGAGAGAAAACACGAGGAGAGAACAGAAGATGGGATGAGATGTACTAGAGAGAATGTGGAAAGCAGGCGCTGATTTAATCATCACAACTGGTCATTTGGTCTCCATCAGACGCAGTAGATGTGAATTAGAGCTTCACTCGGCAGACAGAAGCTGAGCTGATTTGACTTAAGCCAGAACTGAGCAAAGCTTATTAACCAGAGTAATTACATCACAGAAGCATATTAACTGGAGAGTAACTGAAGCAACCTGGAGGATTAATTATAACATTAAGATGAATCATGGCACAATCCTAAAAGCAGACATTTCTGGAGAGTTAAGCAGGGTTTGGACACACACACACACACACACACACACACCTCCAGACGGCAGGCTGACGCAGGTGGCGCCGTTGAGGCAGGGCTGAGCGGCACACGCGTCCGGATAGAGAACGCATCCCAGCTTGAGATCCGTCAGTCCCACCACCTCCGCATACGGGCTGCGTTTGTTCTGCAGCGGGAGTTCGTTGTCATTCAGAACCACCGAGTCTAAACAGCCCTGAAAGCCGTTGGTGACCCGCAGACCCTTTCTTTCCGTCAAGCTACGGGTGTCCGGAGGCGACACCTGCGCTCCGAAATAAATGGACAAATCTGCTCCCAGAGGTCGGTATTTAGTCGTGGCCAGTCGCCGCTCCACGTACATGTAGTCTAGTGAAAGGCTGCTGTAGTTTCCTCGCAGCTCCAGGACCACGTGATGCCAGTTCCCGTCGTTGACCGGACGGCCGGAGATCCCGATGCTCCTGGGACTGTTGCCGCAATCCAACTGGAACCACAACTTTCCCTCCTCGATCTGTCAATCAAATGCAGATACAGTCTGTATTGAATCTGATGGATTACAAAAATCACTTTGTGAAATAATGGCATGCAAAGCAAACATATAGCAATTCCCTAAACCAGAGATCCTTAAACTTGTGTCATTCAAACTCCTTTTTACCTCAAATATTAACATACAACTTTTCGTCCCCCCCTGAGATTTTAAGCTAATTTTTCAATAATTTACCAACAGATTTGCACATTGGACATGGTACATTTATTGCAGGTTTTCATTTTGATGATTTAATTAATTATTAGCTTTTCATCAACACACAACCCTCGGCATTTCCTTCACACACCCCAGTTTGGAAAACTCTGCCTTAAATGAATTACTCTTACAAGTCTGTTCCTTTAATGAATAGTTCAAAGACTTATTTGGATCAGTCTAAAAAACGATTCTGTATAATTTAAAGCACTAGCAGAGTTTAAATGTAAGAATATGTAAGCAAATTTAAATGTATGAATATGTAAGCAAAACATGATAGCTAAAATATACCAAAATTAATCAGAATTGAATCAAATGTAATCAAACTGAGAGTTTGTGAATCAGAATAGAAACAAATCAGGAAAATTGTATCAATAACTTAGCTTCAACAATGTTTTTTTTTTTTTTACACAAAAGCTCCAAAACCATTTAAAAGATCCAACACTTTCTGCTAAATATTTAAAACAATATGTATTACTATTATTGTCATCATGTCATCAATAATGTAAAACAAATACTACAATACTGTATACTACTTCTAGATACATCTAGAATAAATCAATTTATTTACCACAAACAAATAAATCAATCTAGTCTGGTATATATATATATATATATATATAGATATAGATATAGATATATATATATTTAGAAATTATTTACTTTCTATCCAAAGAATCCTGAAAAAAATGTATCATGGTTTCCATTAAAACATTAATCAACACAACAGTTTTCAACATTAATAATAATAAAGGTTTCTTGAGCATCAAATCAGCATATTAGAATGATTTCTGCAGGATCATGTGATATTGAAGACTGGAGTAATGATGCTGAAAATACAGTTTTGATCACAGGAATAAATGACAGAGAAAAATATATTCAATCAAGAAAACAATTATTATTAACTTATTATAAAATTATTAACAATTATTATAAATGATCATAATGTTTCATATTACTGCTGTTTTACTATAGTTTAGATCAAGTAAATGCAGCCTTGGTGAGCAGCAAAGACTTCTTATAAAACATTTGAAAAAAATCTTTAAACTTTTGACTGGTAGTGTTCACGCCTAACCCTAAAGATTTCATAATGTCTTTTCACTTCCTTTCCATGTTAAAAAGTCATTAGAACAAAGTATATGAAGGCTATACGTGTGTTTTATGGTGTGTACCTTCAGCACGCTGCACGGATCTGTACGTGTGAACATAATGATTCCCTTGTTCTGCAGCGTTCTGATGCGGAGCGCTAACTTCATCTCTCCATTCCTCTCTCCATCCGTCACTCTGTACTTAATATAACTGTTACCAGAGAAGCTCAGAGAGGTGTGTCCTGAACAACACACACACACACACACACACACACACACAAACACAAAACATCAGTCACTAGAAAAGAAACGGCTCATATTTTAAGAAGGTGCCACATTATATATCACACATAAAGAGCTTTCATACAGGGTTATATGTTACCTGCACACTCTCCCAGTTTGCCCTGCGGACACTGGCACGTGTATGGCCCCCTGTTGCTGTCCGTTCCCACACACTGCATGTCACCGGGACATCTCATATCCGCACACACCTCCGACGGAGCAGAACAACTCCCGTCTGACAGAAAGAGAGGGAGAAATTACTACCGCAAAACAAACAGGCTCTGGTTATAGTGGTGTACTGTGATAATACTGACCACAAATATTTTTCCTAATTTCACTGATGTGTTTCTGTTCCTGCTGTTTATGAGTGCAAGGACGTGGCCCGTGTTCAAGAGTGTCATTGTGTAAGTGCATGTTTAATAGGCGGCTTATGTAAAGGCTTTTCACACTATGCTTAACCCTGGGTTAACGTCTTTTAAAGATGGGGTTTTAACCTTGTGTGCAGGAAAGTTTTACATGTGTAATTAAAACTGCTTTTGTATACAGTGAGAATCAACACAGTGTGAGAATGTCGTGGCGAGTTGTTTAGAAACTGCCTCATGATTCACTCATTAAATATTTATTCCAAAACATAGTTTTTTAAATTTTGTGATGGAAACGGTTTAATGGTTCACATAGTCAAACAGCACCATGTAACTGATGAAGAGACTCGTGGCAATATTTCCACACATTAACATAACAATAGTGTTCATAATTTTTTTCTTTGTGCAAAACCTGTGTTTACACATTTACATGAAGAAATCATGATTCATTAAATTTCCAATTTAAAACTATACTAAATGTATGATCTTGCAACTAAAATTGCACATATGCAATAAAAAAAATTTAAAAAGGCCTTAGAATCTTAAATTATGCCAAAATGTCTATTTCTAAATTGTTGTTAGAAACAAAATGACTAATGACAAAAGGATTATTTTCAAGTAACAAAAATTAAAAAGCTTGACTGGTTATATGTCAATGATAATGCATACAAAATGCACATTTATCAGCAGTATAATAAAGGTAAAAACTTTTTCTAAACACAAAAATTTATGTTAATTGTATTTGTGTATTTATTCACAACTTAAGGGCAATTATTGAATGAGACTCAATATTATAAACGCATATAAATATGTAAACATAAATGTTCATCAAAATTCCAAAAATGCCACGGGATAACTTAAAAGTATTTAAATAAATCAATTATTATTAATATATTCAAATACTCTAACTCCAACTTAAATTAAAATTAAAATCAAGATGTAAACTGACATATTCTGTTTTCCACCCCTTAATAACATACTTGTTGAAATGTCAAGAATTACAAATTTAATTGTGGTTAATTAAATATCAGTACAGTTTCTATAAAAAATTCTATTAAAATAAACAAATAAATTCTAATATTACAATTCTATTAATTAAATCGATAAATAAATTATATTCTTTAATGGTTCACATAGTCAAACATCACCATGTAACTGATGGAGAGACAAAAATTCTATTAGTTAAATATATGAATTAATAAACTATTTTTTTATTAATTAATTAATATATAATTACAGCAGAATTCATTTTGGATAAAAGCATCAAAATGTGCTGGAAAACAGGGGCTTTTGAATGAAAACTGTTGAGAACACCTGGTTTAAAATGATCCTGGGTCAACGATTTGTTCAGACACAGACACACTCACCGCTGCAAACGCATCGCGTGTTCCTGTGGAACTTGGGCGACACGAAGCTGGTTTTGGTGGAGCTGTATGTGAGCAGACTGTGCGAGTCCAGCGTGATGGTTTGTTCACACTGGGCCTCCCTGCAGTCCAGACCCGAGCAGTTCTTATCCAGCACAGCTGAGACTCTCAGAACCTGGTCCAGCTGCCGGCGCGCCGAGCTCAGCTTCTGTGTCACCAGCGCCGCCTTGTAGAACCCGCCGCCTTCCGCTGTCTCCACGGCAACCAGCAGATCCAGCTGCCCCGTGGACTCCACCGGCTGCACACTGAGCACGTGCAGAGCGTCGGGCCGCGGCGTTGCCATCACACTGGACAGGACGCGTCTGACCGATGGGAGGTGACGGGACACGAAGTCGTGAGGGGAGACGCGGTCGAAACGGATGGTCACGGCATCGTGGAGCATCTCAGCCGAGGCCTGCTCTACATGCACGCTCACCGGCACGTTCACAGTGAAGCGGCCGTCTGTTACTGTAGCGTTGAAGCTGTAGCGGCCCGCGTCCAAGCCGCTCAGAGCGATGATGCGACCGTCTCGAGGACTCACCTGCGAGAGAAAAAGATGGACACGTCAAAAAACACAATAAGATTTCACAAAAATTTAGATTCACCCTGTGAACTCAAAATGTGAGTTTTGTTGATTTTTGATAATGTCTGATAGAATAAAATAAATTAACTAAACAAAGTAAAATGCAATTTATTAAATATTTTAGTAACAATTCACCAAAACTAAATTTTATTCTAAATGTATACAATTTTACAAGAACTACAGTATATCTATATATATATATATATATATATATACAGTGGGGCAAAAAAGTATTTAGTCAGCCACCAATTGTGCAAGTTCTCCCACTTAAAAAGATGAGAGAGGCCTGTAATTTTCATCATAGGTATACCTCAACTATGAGAGACAAAATGAGAAAAAAAATCCAGAAAATCACATTGTAGGATTTTTTAAGAATTAATTGGTAAATTCCTCTGTAAAATAAGTATTTGGTCACTTACAAACAAGCAAGATTTCTGGCTCTCACAGACCTGTAACTTCTTCTTTAAGAGGCTCCTCTGTCCTCCACTGGTTACCTGTATTAATGGCATCTGTTTGAACTCGTTATCAGTATAAAAGACACCTGTCCACAACCTCAAACAGTCACACTCCAAACTCCACCATGGCCAAGACCAAAGAGCTGTCAAAGGACACCACAAACAAAATTGTAGACCTGCACCAGGCTGAGAAGACTGAATCTGCAATAGGTAAGCAGCTTAGTGTGAAGAAATCTATATATATATATATATATATATAAACAAACATATAATTTATCAATTTGCAATTAATATTCATTGTAAAATTAAACTTCTAAAAATGTACATTTATTTTAAATTTAAGTCCAAACTTTGCATGCATGTAAATTAATTAATATTAATTAATAATAATTAATATTTCTCATTGTTAAAACATCATCAACAACAACAACAAAAACATTTAAATAGTATGTTGAAAAGGTTGAAATTAGAGAAAATTGTGCATATGAATGAATTACGATTAAAACTATGAAAAATGCATGAACTTCAAAGAAGCTAAAGTTTATGGTAGTTTTGATTTGAAAGTATTTTTTGGTTTTGCATAATCCCCATCAATCCCATCGCTTCAGTTTCATTCACTATCATTCAAAAATGTAAAAAAATAAAGAATGAGTAGTCATGTTCAAAATGTCATAAAAAATATTAACAATTCTATTTTAGACAAAAACAAGTTATTAATTATATTTCTTTGAATCTCAAACTGCCTCAAAGTGAATAATTGCATTATTATTTGCGACCCTGGACCACAAAAGCAGTCATAAGGGTCATTTTTTTAAATTGAGCTTTCCATTGATGTATGGTTTGTTAGGATAGGACAATATTTGGCCGAGATACAACTATTTGCAAATCTGGAATCTGAGGGTGCAAAAAATAAATAAATAAATAAATAAATAAAGATAAAATCATCTTTAAAGTTGTCCAAATGAAGTACTTAGCATTGCACATTACTAATCAAAAATTAAGTTTTAATATATTTACAGTAGGAAATTTACAAAATGTCTTTATGGAACATGATCTATATCCTAATGATTTTTGGCATAAGAGAAAAATCAATAATTTTGACCCATACAATGTTTTGTTGGCTATTGCTATAAATATACCTGTGCAACTTAAGAATGGTTTTGTGGTCCACAGTCACATTTGATTAATAAATGTATTAACTAATTCATAATAATAATTCAATGATAATAATAACTGAATGGTAATTGTTGTAGGGGTTTTGTGGACTTCAATTTGGACTCAATCTAAACTGTGAAAATATGAATGTGATGCATGCATAACGGAAACACAAACCAATGGATCACACACTCATATACCTTGAACAGGCTGCTCTGCTGGTGTGTGTGTCCGTAGGTAAGTATATCAAAGGCATCTTGGTCTGTGGCGTGGATCTGACCGATCACACCTCCTGGAAACTCGTCCTCCATGGTTACGATGTGCACATGTAAAGGTGATGCCACTGGCTTGTGTACGCTCTCCTCTATCACACGCACCAACACGGTCGCCATCGACGACAGGGGCGGCCTGCCCGAATCACTGGCCTATGGGGTGAAACAGCGGACAGTGATTGGCTGAAGCAAGCGTCAATCACAACCACAGAAATATTACTTGTATTTAATCTAAATTCTACATTTAAATAAAATGTGTCAGTTTCCCCAAAAATGTCTTGTCTTTTTAATACTGATAATCAGAAATGTTTCTTGAGCAGCAAATCAGGATATTAGAATGATTTCTGAAAGATCATGTGACACTGAAGACTGGAGTAATGATGCTGAAAATTCAGCTTTGCATCACAGGAATCAATTACATTTTAACATATATTCAAAAAGAAAAGAGTGATTTAAAATTGTAATAATATCTAACAATATCACTGCTTTTTTCTGTATTTTTCATGAAATAAATTCAGTCTTGGTGAGCATAAGAGACTTTCAAACATATAAAAAAATCGTACTAACCCCAAACGTTTGATTTTTGGTAGTGTATAAATGCAATTTAATTAACTTTTTACAAATTTTGGTCCAGAATTCCTCTTTACCTGTATGTGAATGGCATAATCTGTGCCCTCGGACCTACGAAACACCTTGTTAGATGTCAGCAGCCCCTCTCTATCCAGTTTAAACCACGCCCCCTCATTTCCTGATAGGATGTGGAAATGAAAAGGCGGCCCGTTGTGGCTCGCATCCTTATCGATGACAGACAGCTGTAGGACACTTGTTCCCAAAGGCTTGTTTTCCTGTTAATGAGTAAAGCTCACATTAAAGGTGGGGTAAGTGATTTTTCAAAAACGCTTTAGAAAACTGATTCGGGCCGAATAGCAAAACAAACTTGTAGCCAATCAGCAGTAAGGGGCGTGTCTACTCATGATGTGGAGGAGAGAGCGTTCAGTGCACGGGACGGACATTAGCCGAGCCGAGCGACAGAAAGATAGAGATGCCGAGGTTGCTTTGTTTCTTCTCGATAGGTGAGTAACACCGTGTCAGCACCGCAACAGCTAATGTCTGTCTAGTACACTGGACGTGACAAAGCGACCATTGAAAATCATTTAAAATTTGTGTCAATACGTCATAAATAGAAGGCAGCAGCAGTTTTCTGTCGGGAATTTGTTGTGTCGTGCCGCACCGCATCCAGTGTAGACCTTAGATATGTATATATATCTATGCTGTAGACAGCATCACTGATTATAATGAGTTCTATAGTGCCGAGGTTGCTTTGTTTCTTCTCGATAGGTGAGTAACACCGTGTCTGCGCCACAACAGCTAAAGTCTGTCTAATACACTGGACGCGACAAAGCGACCGTTGAAAATCATTCGAAATTTGTGTCAATACGTCATAAATAGAACGCAGCAGCAGTTTTCTGTCGGGGATTTGTCATGCCACGCCGCATCCAGTGTAGACAGCATCACTGATTATAATGAGTTCTATAGTATTTAGTCGCACCGCACTGTTCGCGTCCGGTGTAGACACGGTGTAACATTGGTTTTGCTTTGTTTCACAGAACTAATCATTGCCTGAGTTGCGTACGTATGTGTGCGGCGGAGCTATAAAAATAGAGGCGAGACCCTTTTGGGGTAGGGGCGTGTTTGTTTTGGTGATTTCAAATGTCAACATTGGCTACCAGAAATTGCTTACCCCACCTTTAAACTGCAGGAATTACTTGAACGTGATTGGCTGATTTACCTGTCACTCATTATATCGCACCTGTATAACAGCAGTGTGATTGGCTGGAGTGAAGGAGGGTGGGTTGTCGTTGACGTCAGAGATGTCGATGTTGACCTGAACGGTTGAGGACATCGCAGGCGTCCCGCTGTCAAGAGCTCTGACGGACAACGAGTAACCAGCCATCTACAGATACAGAGAGAACGGTTTAAAACTTACAGAATAAGAGATGAAAAGAAAGTACAAAGTAAAGAGACGAACACACATCTATATATTCTCTTTCACTCTGACTGTGTCATAAATAGTTCATGACAGGCTGACGGATGATCTGAAGCTCCATACATACAGACACACAATCTAGGTTTGGAACTCCTTGCTGTCAGTTTCTCTTCTTTTTGCTATTTTTCATCTGATTTTCTTCTCTGTTCATTTGAAAACACTGACATGTGTGGCATTTTATTTCATTTTTAAACTCCACTTATAATGTTAAGCACTATTCAGAAGGGATTCATTTTCTAAATGAATCATTATTTTCTCTTTTGTTGAATCTTAGTTACAATTAATTGACTTTATAGAGGAGTTACACTGAAAGTTTAAAGAGTATGTCTACATCATTCATCAAAGTCTTATTTCAAAAGAGCCTGGAAATGATCTGACCCCTTTTAACCATCTATAATTGAACAGACAACAATGGCTTCATTAAGCTAATTGACTTGGGAGTGAAAAGGAGAGTCTGCATGTAATCTAAGGAAACTTTAGCACCATCTAGTGGTTACAGTTATATAACATCATGTACCACTATCCATTCCAAATCCAAACCAAGACAGATTTTTTTAATGTTTAAAATAAATAAATAAAAGAGTATAAAAAAAACTACATTTGGTTTCAGTAATTTTGTTTTTAAAGAAATTAATACTTTATTCAGCAAGCATTATACTGATCACTGATCAAGTGACAGTAAAGACATTTACAAAAATGTGAAATAAATGCAGTTTTTATGTTCCTTTTATATAAAAAAAGTATCAAATAAGAAATAAAGACTGAAATAATACTTCAGAGAATTAAATCAAAATGTACAGAATTTATAAATAAAATACAAGTGTTATTTTAAACTGTAATAACATTTCATAACTATTTACTGCATTTTTTTTAATTAAAAAATGCTAAAGGACTTGATTCAAAAACTAAAAAAAAAAAAATCTTATAAATTCCAAACTTTTAAATGAAGTTAAAAAATTATATTTTATATATATATATATATATATTCTATTTTTATTTTCATATTAACATTTTTTTTAATGAACTCACTTAACCAGTGATCAACGCATATGCTTTACTAAAGCAAATTCCAAAATCATAATCTCCAAGGTTTTTTATTTTTTTTAATCTATTATGAAGCGGTTTCACAGGTGTAATACTATTATTTTAATCTCTTACACATGGAGAATCTTTCATATTAAATGAAACACTATGACACTGTGTCTGTTATTAAAGGCTTTCCTGTGTGGATGCCTGCCGTGAATGATTTGATTTCTTCTTCTCTTCAGCTGTTCCCTGATCAGTGTCATTTAAAATAAAGTCTTTGTGGGGATTTTGTCCTATTTGATGCCTTTCTTTCTCTGTCACTCGGTTGTCATAGTAACGGTCGCCGTGGCGACGTCCCACATTCCTCACCGTTTCTCGATCCAGCTGCTTGTTGACTTTGATCTGGCCTGTGATTGGCTCGATAAAGAACTGGTTCTCTCGGTCGCCGCTGACGATGGAATACAGGACGTCGGCGTTTGCTTGGCTGTCGACATCTTCCGCGGTCACCTAGGTGATTGCGACAAATCACCAAATTATAATGTGGATCTCAAAGACACAAAAATAAGACGTACTGTCTGTGAATTTCATGAGTGGTTACCTTGACAACGGTGTCTCCTATGTTAGCATCCTCGCTGATGGACAAGCTGTAGGCATCGCGGCTGAACATGGGGGCATTGTCATTGACGTCTGTCAGGTTGATGTTCACCATGGTAACAGCACTAAGGGGCTGAGTCCCGCCATCAGTTGCTTCCACCGTAAGGAAATAATCCTTGCAGTACTCAAAGTCCAGCGGTCGAGATACGGAGATGGCCCCTGTACGTGGCACAATATACAAATCTTGTTATAGAGTGAATCTATGGGATATATTTTATAAGTCATAAATATATAAATAAAAATACAAATAACTAATACCAACATTTTTATACTTTACACTTATATCATAGGCACATTCAAACATTTAATTTGATAATATCCAGGCATCATACAAACTTTTGATAATTTTTGGCCATCATAGGTGCATTGAAATATGTGTTGGAGGTAACACATTACAAGTAACGTGAGTTATGTAATCAGATTACTTTTTCAAGTTACCTAGTAAATTAATGTAACATTACTTTTACAACGAAATATCAGTTCAAAAAAAATAATGCAAGTTACTTTGTTTTCCCATTTATTCACTGATATCTCTTCTGTTCCTGTGTTGAGAGAAATTGGGAGTGAAGAGGTACTTCCTTCAGCCTGAGGCTTATTAACATCACTTTTGGTGTGAAAGGACCTTTACAATTGCCAAAAATATAACTTTTGGGCTTTTTGTTATTAAAAAACAAATAAACAAGCCCAGCTCAGATGACAAAAAGTAACACAATTAGTTACTTTTTTATGGAGTAACGCAATATTGTAATGGATTACTTTTAAAAGTAACTTTTCCCAATACTAGAAGGTACTTTCAAATGTTCAATCCAAACATTTATTTATTTATTATTATTATTATTTTTTGCCATTATATGCACATAAATACCTGATTTGATTCATATATGTTTGGCCATTACATGCACCGGTGTTGGGGGTAACGTATTAGAAGTAACGTGAGTTACGTAATCAGATTACTTGTTTAAAGTTAACTAGTAATGTAACACATTACATTTAAATTTACAATTAAATATCTGAGTTACTTCTTCAAATAAATAACGCAAGTTACTTCGTTTTCCCATTTATTCACTGACAGCTCTCCTGTCCCTGTGTTGACAGAAATTGGGAGTGAAATGCAGAAGTACTTTCTTCAGCCTAATTTCATTTTTGGTGTGAAAGGGCCTTTACAGTTGGCAAAAAATAGAACTTTTGGGCATTTTGTTACTAAAAAACAAACAACCCACCTCAGCGCAGGTGAGAAAAAGTAACACAAAAGTGACATACTGCACTACTTTACATAAAAAGTAACACAATTAGTTACTTTTTATGGAGTAATGCAATATCGTAATGGATTACTTTTAAAAGTAACTTTCCCCAATACTAGAAGGCACATTCAAATGTTCAGTACAAATTTTTTTTGCCATTATTTGATACGTTTTGGCCATCATAGGTGCATACAACATTTTTGGAACATTAAAGCATTAAAGGAACATTCAAATGTTTAATTTTATATTTAAGCATCCGAGTTCATTGTTTTAGGCCATAACAGGTGCATTTAAACATTTTTGGTCATTGTAGGCAATTTAAACACTAAATTCAATCAATTTTGCCCATTAGAGGCATGTAGGAACATCTGATTTGAACGTTTTTGGCTATCATAGGTGGATTTTAAGAACATTTAGATGTTCAATTTGATCATTTTTGGCCACTATAGGCACGTATGAACAGGTTTTGGGCCATAGTAGGTGTGCTCAAAAATGTTAGACCTTGGTGGGCATATTGAATTAGACAATTAAATGCCCATTATAAGCATGTATGAATGTCTGATTTAATCATTTTGGGCTGTCATAGGTCCATTCAAACATTTTTTGTCATTTCTGGACGTCTGATTTAAACATTTTTGGGCATTATATATATATATATAGCTCTAAAATCGGCTCAAAATTTCAAACATGTTTGATCTCCGACGACGGGACGGAATCAAAGTCTGAAGCTAAAAAATCAGAGTCTGTGACCATCATGAACAGTTAAATGCTCTCCCCACTGTGCAATAAAAATATGTGCAATACCACTTATATTTATTTGATACCATCTTAGTCTATCCCTACATCTTATTCTATTCTATTCCATCTATAGCACAACTGTACATAACATTTTTGTGTATTATATATATATATATATATATATATATATATATATATATAAACATGAAAAAAATATTTATTCCAAATTGTGTGTATATTACGTTATACATTGATCATCTCGTTTTAACATTTCTGTATAGCGTAAATAATAATCTAAGTGCATATCACCTGTATTGATGTTAATGGTGAAATGGCCCTGTTGGTTTCCGGATCGGATGTTGTAGTAAATATCAGCATTGGTGCCAATGTCTTTACTTGCAGCATAAACCTGTACCACTTCCGTACCCACTGCCACATCTTCAGGAAGCGTGGCCAGATAGTCCCTCCTCTCAAATACGGGTGGATTGTCATTAATGTCCAAAACTGTGATCGTTATGTTCGCAAGGGAAGAGAGGCGAACGGGAACACCTTGATCTGACGCACGGACCATTATATGGTATGAGGACTGAACCTCGCGGTCCAGCAGACGCTCCAAAACAACAATCCCGGATGATTTATCAATGGAGAAGAACCCATCAGCGGAATCAACAAGTGAATAGACCACTTTACGATTAACACCTGCAAAATAAAACGCATGCAAAATCCATTCAGTTTTAACTGTACACACTTTTACAACCTACTATTAACTAAAATGGTACATTTTTCATGCTGTCACAGCTCAAACGCATCAAAGGGCACATCTGAATGTTTGGTTTTGGAATCAACGTGTTGCAGTGCAAACATTTTTGTTCAAACGCAACTATAATCCAAAAACCTTTAAAGATTTCATTTATGTTTAAAGGCTTTTGGATTATAGTTGCATTTTAACTAAAATGGCCAAAAATGTTTATGTACATTTATGCACATTTTACGTTTAATTTACCACAAAATGGCACACTTCTGACGCTCAAAAATCTAAATAGACAGCTCACTAAGTTTTTTTTTTAAAGTTTTTTATTTTTGGCGTTATATGCCTTTTATTTAGATAGGATAGTAAGTTGACAGGAAGCGAAGTGGATGTAAGAGAGGGGGGTGGTGTCGAGAAAGGTCCACGAGCCGGGACTCGAACTCAGGACGCCCGAAGCGCAATGGCGCTACATGTCGGCACACTGCCCACGAGGCCATCGGCGCCGACAGCTCACTAAGTTTTGAGGCTCAACCCAAATGTCGCAACTATAATCCAAAAACCTTTAAAGATTTCATTTATGTTTAAAGGCCACGATAGATGTTTTTGGATTATAGTTGCATTTTAACTAAAATGGCCAAAAATGTTTATGTACATTTATGCACATTTTACGTTTAATTTACCACAAATTGGCACACTTCTGACGCTCAAAAATCTAAATAGACAGCTCACTAAGTTTTTTTTTTAAGTTTTTTATTTTTGGCGTTATATGCCTTTTATTTAGATAGGATAGTAAGTTGACAGGAAGCGAAGTGGATGTAAGAGAGGGGGGTGGTGTCCAGAAAGGTCCACGAGCCGGGACTCGAACTCAGGACGCCCGAAGCGCAATGGCGCTACATGTCGGCACACTGCCCACGAGGCCATCGGCGCCGACAGCTCACTAAGTTTTGAGGCTCAACCCAAATGCCCCCTGCTAAACAAACTGGCCTGGTTTTCAGCTTGACCTTATTTCAACAAGGTCATGTTTTATGTTCATAGATAATTTTCCCTGTACTTCTTGGCTGCAGTAAGTGGACTCATTGGTTCCAAAAATATTCCTGGCTTTGGCTTGTCATGTTTACCATGCAGATTTGAAACTGTCAAAAAAATGCACTAATTAGATTTTTAGCCAACTGAAAGAACAGCAGGAGAACCAGCTCTGACGACTTCTACATGTTTCCCAGAATGTACTTTAGTGTTTTAACTCACCGGGTCACAGACGGGGCTGTTGTCGTTGGTGTCGATGACCATGACCTCTACGGTTGCCGTGGAAACGTGGAGTCCGTCTGTCGCCGTGACATTGATGAGGTACCGTTCTTGTTCCTCGCGGTCTAACGGCCGTTTAACGTACAGTTTCCACTCTCCCTGAACCAACCCCAGAGCAAACACCCCTCCTCTGTTACCACCTACACACACACACACACACACAAGAGATTATACCGGACAGTTACTCTCTCAATAGTCTGTGACAATTTAAGTAGCAATAAAATCCCCTACTGATTGTAACACAACACACGCTCACTTCCAGGATTATCTGCAGTTTTAATAACCTCCATTAGTCCTCTCAATGATGGCATACTCATTAGTATGAACTATAATAATCAGTTCTTTATATTCACATTTAAATGATCAACACTGCCATCAATTAGGTCCTCATAACAGCCTTCCTGATCTATCGCACGGTCGGCAGCCGTACCTGGCTCATTAGGACGGGTCATCTTTTAAACCTCAAGCAGACAGAGGTGGAAAGAGAGAAAAAATGAGAACGAGAGACTCTATAATCAAAGCAGCCGCGTTGACAAGCATCCAATTACTGTACACTCATAGTATCAACACACGCTGCCTTATTCATCTAATAAAGAGTGTAATTTAACTCAGCTGGGGGCTGATAACACAGAACAGCTTCTATCAGAGACGCGTTAACAAAGGCCTGGATGCCTTCCGACTCCATTTCTCTCATCTCACGCTCTCGCTCATTGGCTTGAGGGAGTGTTCAGCATAAGTTTCAAACCCTGTATGCTTTTTCTGTGCTTCATAAGCGATAGCTTGAAAACTTTAATTTTCTTGCACAATTTTTTTTTTTCATGCTCAATGTATTTGGGCACTTAAAAACTGACCCTATACTTGTCTGAATGCCACCACATTATATAATAATAATAAAAAAAACTTATAATAAATAATAAAAATAAAAAATAAAATGTTTACACGTGTCATAACACAGTAATCAAAGGTGTTGTTTATCCCAGTCAAAATCTCATGATAGGCTATTTGATATTTTTCAGTGTCATAATGCAATATATACGGTACTGTAAATGTTTGGGGTCAGTAAGTTTTTTTTTTTTTTTTTAAGAAATCATTACTTTTATTCAGCAAGGATGTGGTAAATTGACTGCAAGTGACTATGAGTGCTTAAATTTTACAAAATATTTCTATTTCAAATAAACACTGTTCTTTTGAATTCTATTTAAAAAATGTATCACTGTTTCTAAACAAAATTAAGAACCACAGCTGTTTTCAGCATAATAATAATAAATGTTTCTTGAGCCGCAAATCAGCATATTAGAATGATTTCTGAAGGATCATGTGAAATGATGCTGAAAACTCAGCTTTGCCATCACAAATTAAATTATATTTAAAAATATATTCAAATATAAAACTTATTTTACCATGTAATAATATTTCACAGTATTACTGTTTTAACTGTATTTATGATTTAATAAATGCAGCCTCAGTGAGCATAAAAGCCAGCTTTTAAGAAACCCATAAAAATGCAGTTTGGAATAGAATGCAATCAGAATTGTACTGAATTGCATGACTCATTAAAATACAAAAATATGGCATGCATATAATAATACACATATATAGCTTACAGTTGGTCACATAGCACTGGAAAATAAAAAAAATAATTGTATTTTAATTGTCATAGTTGGTACAGTACTTTATCTAGTCACACACAGACCTTATAGGTTTGAAAATCAACTATCTATACACATGTAAAACATCTCTCTCAAACAACATATTTCATTCTTCTTGTCAACCAATCAAACTCAACTGATGTGTTTCCAGCCATTTACAGTCAGTTCTGGTCGATTAGTGTTTCTGCAGTGACCTTTCACCTTTACGAGGCAGCAACACGGAGAGCTATTTAACGGCTGTTAAATCGTAGCTGTTACGGCGGGGATATTCAGCACTATTGTTAAGCTGAGATACACAGTGCGCTGGTCTAACATGGTTTAAGATATCCTTTATGAACCTTTAAACGACTTTCAGCAAAGAACCTCTCAATAAAAGTTCAAATTATCCAATTAACCACCATAGAGTAACTGTTTACTGTTTAATTGCTCTGTGCTCTGTTGAACACAGCAGTAAAATACCCTGAGAGCTGAATTTACCCACAATGCTCTCGCTTCCTAAAGAGAATAAAGACATTTGGGTAACTCAAATCTGTTTGTATATTGGTCTCTATCTTTCCCTCCAGTGTGTATTATGATACGGTGTGCAGTTCTCTGAGCCAGTTTGTGCCACTGGGCTGTGAGAAGTGTATTAGAGTCTGCCTGACCTTTGAGCTTGTCTTGAACGAGAGGATTTAAACGTTATGAAAGTGTGGACTGTAGGGAAGGAGACTGAGAGAGAAAAGGAAAGAGACTATTCTCAGTAGAACTCATGGCAACTAAACAAGGGCTCGTGTCACAAAGTTTACATGCCGTGGGCTACGATTTAATTAAAGGGATAGTTCACTCATTTTTATGAAGTTGTAACGTTGTTTGACTTTCTTTCTGAAGGCTGCATTCTTTTCAATGCAATTACAATCAATGAACTGAATATTTTAGACTTTAAATGATATTAAAACATCACAAAAGTGGACAAAAAGTGCACTTATTTACATTGATATAAACAATAGAGAGACTTTTTATATTTATTCATTTTCTTTCTTTCGGCTTTAAAAGATACAAAAACATCATCTTTTTTACTTGATTTAAATTTTTATATTTAAAACAAGTGAAAAACCTGCTTGTGCAGTACAACATTCGAACAATATTATGTACTGTATATATAACAAAAATATACTCTGAAAGAAGTCTTAAAGCCATAATTTTCCTAAAAAATTTTAATTCTGTCATCATTTACTGACCCTTGTGTCATTCAAACACTTATAACTTCATTGTTTCACAGCAGAAAGAAAGACATTTTGAAGAAAGTTTCAGCTGTTTTGTACATACAATGAAATTCATGAGTGTGCAATACAACATTGATCCCCATTGACCTTCATTGTATGGGCCTAAAGCACTGAGACATTTTTCAAAATATCATCTTCTGTGTTCCACAGAAAAACTAAGGTTTGGAACGACATGCGTGTGAGAAAATGATGACAGGAATTACATTTTTATCTGTACGATCCCTTAAATATCTCATGTAGTGTTGCTTCTCAAGAAATGTAAATTATTTCAAAGGTTTATCAATATTTTAGCTGGAAAATTAGACAAAAGAAGATTACTATTATGAACATACATTTTTTCAAGTGTGGAAGGTCATACAGTGTACATTGATTGTTTCAAAAGTTCTTACCTGTAATATGATAGGTGACTTGTCGGTTTCCAGGTGAGCTGTCATTGTCCCGTGTGTTCAATACTGCCACCACTTCACCAGGTGCATCACTCTCACGAACACTTCCGTAGTAACGGGGCTGAAGAAACTGCGGTATGTTGTCATTGGAGTCGCTCACTGCTATAGTTATAGTTGTTGAGGATGACTGGCTGGCAGGATCTCCAAGGTCAAATGCCCAGACTGTAAGACTATGGGCAGGGCTCTGTTCATGGTCCAGCCCTTTCAGTGTTGATATCCAACCAGAGCTGCTGTCAATTGTAAAGTAGGCTCCGTGTTCTTCAATGTTCTCACCACCAGAGCCACCAAGCAACCCAGGTGGAGCAAGACTGTAAGTCACCTGACCATTAGCTGCCCAATCAGGATCCAAAGCTAGTACTTGCAGAATCCTAGTCCCAGGAGAAAGACCCTCAGTGACTGATGCCTCGTAGTTATCTGACTCAAATGCTGGTTTGTTGTCATTGACATCTTGTACTTTGACCTCCACATCCACAGCCGAAACTGCATCCAAACGTCCCTGCTGCAACATTGCCATCACTTTGAAATGATAGGCCGGTGTCCACTCTCGGTCCAGTGCTTTGTCTAGTTTGATCATGCCAGTTTCTTTGTCAACCACAAACACTCCATCACTGTTACTCTCTGGAGTCTGTCCGATCACCGCTGAGAAGCTTACTGGTAAGGACGAGTGGCTAGTTGAGGTGTGTAGATGCACTGCTCCCAACAAGGAACCAATGGGCATGTCCTCTGGCACGGTAAAGGAGAACTGTGGCTGGCTGAAGGAAGGTATGTGGGCATTGGCAGACAAAACATGTATGTAGACTGACACAAGGGAATGCCTAACAGGTACCCCGCCATCAGAGGCTTTAACGAAAAAGGACAGAACAGTCCCACGCAAAGGGGAGAAATTGCCTTTGGTGACAACCCAGCCACTGTCCGGGTCAATGTCCAGAAGTTCAGTAACTTGCATGCTGGCTTCGCTGTACAGACTGTAGCTCACCTGTCCATTGGCACCTTGATCTAGATCCCAGGCTTGAACTTGCGTCACAAGGGTACCAGGTTCAACCTCGGACCGCACACTTGCATGGTACTCCGAGGCACCAAACTGTGGAGCATTGTCGTTCTCGTCTAGTATGGTAACCCGGACACTGCAATATCCAGATCGGCCACCAGCATCCACAGCCGCAATGGACAGTACCATCTCACTTCGTTCTTCCCGGTCTAGACGTTCAAGAGTCTTAATTTGTCCATTGCCATCAATACCGAACAAGTCCTGAGCGGAATCTGAGAGCAGCACATACCTCACATCCCCAAACGGTCCAGGATCAGCATCTTGTGCCCTGATTGCAATGACCTTTGATCCCACTGGTGCGTTCTCCCGTAAATCGGCCTCGTACATGCCCTGGGTGAACTGGGGGGCATGTAGATTAGCTCGCTCTACCCGAATGTGCACTTGTGCCGTACTGGTAAACACGCCATCGGAAACGCTTACATTTAGGGTGATGGTGGAAGGCATGCGCTGCATGCGTCGCTGGCCACTCAGGGTGAGGACACCGGAGGCGGCATCAAGCTCAAACAGCATCCTTTCATTTCCAGACACCAGGCCATACTTCAAGCGTTCTGCATCTGAACGGTCTGCATCAGAGGCCTGGATGCATGTAACAAAGTGGCCTTTTGGTGCCAACTCATTGATAGAGGCTTCATAGAGCAGTTGGTTAAATACTGGAGCATTGTCATTTGTGTCCGTGACATCGACTGTGACCCACACTTCGCTGCTCAGTGGGGGAAAGCCATTATCTGCTGCCTTGACAAGAAACACATAGCGCTGGATGATCTCATGGTCCAAGGAGCGAGCTGTCAGAATTAGACCACTGCTGCTGTCGATGTGGAAGTGGTCGGTGCTGTTGGTGCGGTCTGGAATGATTTGGTACCGGACAGCTGCGTTTTTCTCAGAGTCGCTGTCCGTTGCGAGAACTTGCAAAGCTGCAGTGCCAATCATGGCAGATTCAGAAATTACAGTTTTGTATGAGGGTTGCTCGAAGACTGGAGGGTTGTCGTTGACATCCAAAACAGTAACTTCAACATCCACTTCTGCACGAGCGCCTGTGAGGCAGTCCGTTGCTCTGACGATGAGTCTGTGGGAAGGGCTAGTCTCATAGTCGAGGGCAGCGATGACACTGATGACACCTGTGTCAAATCCAATGGAGAAGAGTGTTCCTGGGTCACCATGCGTGATTGTGTAAAGGACACTCTGGCCTTCAGGGCTGCTGGCGTTTATTCCCAGAATTGGAGTCCATATTGGTACGTCTTCGCTCACTTTCACTGAGTAGAATGGTCGGTCGAACACTGGCATTGCTCTGTTTACCACTGTGACGGGAAAGGTGACTGAAGAAGAAAGAGGTGGTGTTCCCATGTCACGGGCGAACACCAGAACCTGATATTCCACACTAGAGAGATCAGCCTCGAAAGCTCTCCGTAAGCGAAGCTCGCCGCTCAAACGGTCAATTTCAAAATGTCCCAGTTCATCCTGCAGAAAGTAGTTCACCTCTCCATTTTGCCCTTTGTCCCGGTCCACTGCTGTCACTCGAAATATCGCTGTCCCAGGCTCCGCTTCCACTTGCACAGCAGCATAGTATGGCAATCCAACAAAAACTGGAGAATTGTCATTGACATCGCTGACTTGAACTCGGACCAATGCTCTTGCAACACGGAGCCGATCTTCCTCACGGCCTGCTTGTACCAAAAGTCCATATTCCTCCTCCTCCTCCCTGTCCAAAGGGACTCCAACTGTTTCAATGGCACCGGACGTTGGCCTAATACGAAATTTCCCACCTGCATTTAACAAAGTATAACGCAGGGGTTCATTCAACTTGTTCCCTAGTGCTGTAACGACAGCAACTGTTGTTATGTTACCATTGTTTTCCTCAATGTTGGCATTGTAGGTATTATGAGTAAAAGCCAGGCCACTGTCCAGAGCCTCATGAACCAGGACAATAACCAGAGCGGTACTGGAGAAGCGTCCGTCTGAAACACGGACGTTAAATCGAAATCGTTCTTTGCTAAAAGTACTGTTTCTTACAGTCAACAGTCCAGTGCTTGGCTCAATGCTGAAATGTTCTATGCTGCCATCGGTCAATGAGTAGGTGAGCTCTGACTGGCCATTACCATCGGGATCGGTAGCAAAAACTTGTAGGGCTTCCACACCTTCATAAGTTGGGAGCAAAAGGACAGCTTCATAGGATGCCTGAGAAAACTTAGGCGGGCAGTCGTTGACATCTTGCACCTCAATGGTGACTTCTGCAGGATGCTCAGCTGAGAGCTGTGGATGTCCACTGTCTCGGACGTTAACATGGAAACGGAATGTAGGTGTGGTTTCATGGTCAAGCTGACCAATTGTTCTTATTGAGCCAGTACCGGCATCTACTGCAAAGAAGCGCCTGGCAGATTCTTCCATTATCTGGTACACCAACAGGGCATTATGGTTGCGGTCAGTGTCACTTGCTCGTATGACTAGCGGTTGTCCATTGTCACTTTGCACAACACTGTTAAGCCCGGCACCTTCACTGATACTTCCATGGTACCGCAGCTGTTTGAACACCGGTGTATTGTCATTTTGGTCAAGAACTGTAACAGTTATTGTAGCGTTTGAGGCCTGTCCAGCCATGTTGCTTGCGGTGACTATTAGCACATAGGAGGAAACAGTTTCAAAGTCTAGTGTTTTCTGCGTAGTGATCACTCCACTGTACTGGTTGATGCGGAATGTCCGATGACCATTGCCGTGGCGAATGTCATAGGTAAGAGTGGACAGACTTAGAGCGTTCACTGTGATTACTGAAGTTCCAATGGCAACACCTTCTGATATATCTGCCTGATATTCACTTTGGGGAAACTTGGGACCAGCATTATCTGACAAGGTGACTGCAATTCGGACGACAGCTGTTGAAGACAATGCTGGAGAACCGTTATCCGTTGCTTTAACAGACAAGACATAGTGACCGATGTTGGACAGGTCCAGCTCCCGAGCCAATGAGATGATGCCCAAAACAGGATCAATCCGGAAAGTGTTTCCTGTGTTTCCTAAATTGAAAAAGAAAAAAATGAGTGTAAGAAAAGAAAAAAGACCTTACAAATATACTGTATTAGCACACACATTATTGTATAAAAGGAAATACATGTCATAATGCATTAAATTGTATGCATGTTTGCAATTATGTAAAGAAAATAGTCAAAAATTTGTACACATCTAAATTTTTACAATTTTCCTGATTTTAGAATAATAATATTAAATAATTTAAATTATGAAATAAAAAATATGTCGTGACAAAACATTTACCAAAAATGTGAATAAATAATAATAATAAAAAAAACTATAAATCCAAACTTCATTGTATGTAACCATAAAAAATAAAATAAAATAAAATTATTGATAATGTCATATGTTAACACAAATCCAAAATAAAAAATGTATTGTTTCCACGTATGCTGGCTTAATGGTAGTCTCGTGTAGCAAGACCTTCAGACTGACGGCATAAGGTCTGAGAACCTTGGCCACTTTGAATGGCCAAGGCCCGCTGAAGAGGCCATATGACTGACAGGTAAAGCAACAAATCACGTTTCGTTTTGTGCCACGTCATGTTTATGGGTGTGAAAATGTTTCCACAATAACAGACTGGTGTGTAAAACTCTTGAACGTATTTTAAAGATTCAATGCCGCAAACATTAAATTTTTCACACACTTTTGAAAATCCAGCATTTAGTTGATCGTGATAAGTGCTCATCATCACAGTTGTAAACACGACAGCTTTCTTCTTCCATGAGGTGGTTTGGCATCACAGTATTTTTGTTTCCAGGTGGAACGTTAAAGAACGCAACTCACACGTCTCCTAGAAATTCTGTATAATTTAACCAATTCGATGACGACTTCTAAACTCCTGAATTGTTTCCAGCTTAGTGTGCCATATGCATCAGACATTCAGCCAAACAAAGCTAAACTAATAAAATAAAATAAAATATGCTATGCTAGCTCATATGCTAACACAAATCCAAAATCAATTTTTCCAACAGTTTTAAAAGATCATGAGACAAATTCATTGGAGTGTGTACAAACTTTGACAGGTAGTGTATGCGAGCGTGTGCATACCTGAGTCGATGCTGTAACTGATTTGTGCATTTTGGCCCTTGTCCTTATCGAGTGCAGTCACTGTGAGAACAGCTGATCCCAGTGCCGCTGATTCATACACCTGTCCATCATACATCACCATGGTGAAAAGAGGGGCGTGGTCATTCACATCCTCTACACCGATCAGGACACGAGCAAGGCTACGTCTGTACGGGAACTCTTGATCTTTCACCTAATATAGAAGCAAAGTAAAGAAGAAAGCAAGAAAAATGGAGACAAAATAAAGAGAGTGGTAGAGGGAAACAAAAATTAATTCCCTGTCTGAGACAGACAGCAATATCCAACTCAAGAAAACAGCAACACACACACAAACTCATACAGGCAAAACAAACTCGCTCACTGCCAGACGGAGTGGATAACATCTCTCTCCGGATTATAATAACACATTTCATCTGGTTGCAGGCAGCAGGAATATCCATGTGCTTATTAGATATGACACTCACTGTCTCTCACCCTCGTCAGGGGAGGATTGATACAGATCAGATCAATAATTAGATCACAGTGGAGAAACGACACAGGTGCAGACGACATTAAACTATTGACGGCTGCCAAAGCACAAGGAGCAATCTCCTGTTCCTGTCATACCTGCACTCAAGCATGGAGAGCGTGAAAGAGAGACAGGAGGGAGGCAAACTACCAACACTAATCAAACGATAACTCTGCTGTTCTATCTATCTATCCAGTAAGAGACACAATGTGCTCTCAAAAATAAAATAAATTCAAATCAAATTTATTTGGTAAAAAAAAAACACATGTAGACTGTTTACATCTATTTATCTATGAAATGTTCAAATCTTCATACTTTAAAACAAATTAAAGAAAAAATAAAAGAAAATTACAAATGAAAAAAAATATATGAAATACAGTTCTGAGTTACCATGATTGTGAGGATGTGCTGAGTTCGGCTCTCGTGGTCCAGTCTGCGAGCCGTGTATATGATTCCATTGCTAGGGTCGATGCGAAAGAGCCGCATGCTGCTAGGGTCAACGCAGCTCTGAAGACTAAAGGTCAAACGGTGACGCTCGTCACGGTCAGACGCCAACACCTGAACCACCTCAGTATCCGGGGGCGTGTCTTCTGTGATTGTGATGTCATAGATGGGCTGGGAAAAAACGGGGGCGTTGTCGTTGTTGTCCAGAACAGTAATGTGGACCTGTGAAAACAAATTAAAAAACATACAGGAAGTCAACATGAAATGTAATTTCTCAGTAAGAAGTGTTGTTACTTTTAACTAAAACTAAATATATATATATACACACACAGAAACAGACACACAAACACAAACACACACACACACATATACATGCATGTATATATATAAATGCCTTGTGTTATTGCATAAGCACTATATGAAACATTTACAACAGCCAGAATAATTTTAGTTCAAATCCCCTACATTCTTTTCTCCTCTATTCGGTTCTTTTGAATTCTATTCCATTCTAAGCTGTAATTAAACGCCACTGTTATGTGCATGTTTTTACAGTCCTATACGAGCACTCTACACTTGATCTTCAGTGTAGAAGAGCCAGAATAAGCCTCTGTGTTATATATATATATATATATATATATATATATATATATATATATATATATATATATATATATATATATATATATATATATAAATTGGAATGAAGTTGAAATAAAATACAAATATTAGATAAAAAACTAAAACTTAAAAAAAATATTAAATATGCTGTGTGGGCAACTCACTGAAACAATAACATTTTCAGTTGAAATACTAAAATTACTAAAACTAAAGTGAAATAAAAATAAAACTAATTAGAAAAAAAAAATTCTAAATTACTATAACTTAAACTTAGCTTAAAATAAAAAAAATAAATATAAAAGCTAATTCAAAATGTTAACATACACTTGGAAGTCAACATGAAATGTAATTTCTCAGTACAGGTGTTGCTACCATTAACTAAAACTATGTTTGTGTTAATTGGAATAAAGTTGAAAGAAAATAAAATATAAATATTAGATTAAAAAACGAAAACTTAAAAAAAATAGATATGTTGCCTGGGAAATTCACTGAAATAATAAATAAATAATAATAATATAATAATATAAGTTTTTATAGGCTTTTTATAAGTTTACTAAAATTACTAAAACCAAAGTGAAATAAAAATAAAACTAATTAGAAAAAATACATAAATTACCATAACTTAAACTAAGCTTAAAATGAAAAAAATAAAACTAAATATAAAAGCTAATTCAAAATGTTAACATACACTACAACAGTACAGAGGTAATACTAAAATAACACTGCTAAGTGCACATTCATGGTCCTATTGTGAATGATTCACCAGTAAACGTTATTAAGCAAAACAAAACAAAACAAAGCAAAGCAAAGCAAAACAAAACAAGACAAAGCAAAACAAAAAACTAAACAAAGCAAAGCAAAACAAAACAAAGCAAAGCAAAACAAAACAAAACAAAGCAAAGCAAAGCAAAGCAAAGCAAAGCAAAGCAAAGCAAAGCAAAGCAAAGCAAAGCAAAGCAAAGCAAAGCAAAGCAAAGCAAAGCAAAGCAAAGCAAAGCAAAGCAAAGCAAAGCAAAGCAAAGCAAAGCAAAGCAAAGCAAAGCAAAGCAAAGCAAAGCAAAGCAAAGCAAAGCAAAGCAAAGCAAAGCAAAGCAAAGCAAAGCAAAGCAAAGCAAAACAAAACAAAACAAAACAAGACAAAGCAAAGCAAAGCAAAGCAAAACAAAACAAAGCAAAGCAAAACAAAACAAGGCAAAACAAAA